GTCTAGTGATAACAAGATAATTCAGTTTGCCAAAACGTCTTTGATAGACTGAAAGTTTGTAGAACGACCTTACAATATGAAGGGTTGAAGTCAAGCAAGACCAACATGGAGTACACGGAGTGCAAGAGTTGGAGGTGCAAGTGAATATTGAAGCAAAAGCTATACCAAAAAGAGAGAGATTTAAGTACATTTGATCCGTAAAACAGGAGAATGGGAGATTGGCGATGATGTCACACACCGTATTCGGGCATGGTGGATAGAATGGAGGCTCGCATCTCAAGTGCATTGCAACAAGTTGCCACTTAGACTGGAAGGTAAGTTTTGAGAATTATGTGCAGTCATAGTACAAGATATATCATTAGAAATGGAGTTATACACAACAAAGGTGATTGTTAGTCAGTTAGGATCCACTAAGATCATGTCATTGTTATTCTTAGTAAATAGGACTAGTGGACGGTTAGTTGACCGGATTGGGTAGTTACTTGAGTTTATACATATTTAGTACAGTAGCAAACACAAGGAGATGATAAAAATATTTGGAATTGCATTTTTGGAGTTATATTGGGCTTCTTAGTCTCTCTTATAATCGAGATTCTTGATTAAAAGAGGTTAAGGAGATATGTTATACTTATTATTAGTTTTTCGTTTCTGGCACTTGCCATTCTGACTATATGAAAAATTAAGATTAAAAAGAGTTGTTCACTTTCTATGTGCAAAAGTGAAAAGTTTGTTTTTCTCCAATAACATTACTTTTTGAGTCTACAATAAATCAACCAGGGAGCTTGGGGCAAAAGTATCTTACTTTTGGAAACAAAATCATGCCACGAGTATTGCTGAATATCCATTCCAACCACAAACCTTGTGGGACTCACCAAGGGCTTAATCTAAAGCATTGTCACATATAGCATGATATAAACTTACTACCACAAAAGCATAATGAAACATTACTTGAAACTTACTAGTAGAAAATAAGCAAAACTAAATTTGCCTCCCAAACCAGCAAGCAAAATGCAAAATATCTGTTGTGTTAAATCCAGGATGCCAATAGTTACTACTTTACTTATCCAAACAGTTATACACCAATAGACAAAATTGCAGTACATAAGCTTACGAATTCATAGTGCGCATTATGATGGCTGATACAAAATCAGAAAATCTTAATCGAGTTCAAAAAAGAATGCAATGTTTCCTCGGAAGAACAAGGAGATTGCATTGGTTTGATTTGCAAAAGTATAGACGGATGGTTAACATATGGAACTTATTCCAATGAGATCAGAATCATTCAGATCAGGTGAAGAGAACAAGTCCATAGTCAGCTTCAATGTCGTTGATCCTATCATGAAACACTATATTCAATGTATTGTACAGTTCTGTTAAGTTATTGCATATCATTGTCATCGGTGGGATGTGGGAGCGTGTAGTATTGTAAACCCTAAAGTAATGTTTTGGCATATCAATTCATATGTGGCTAAAGCCTAGCATTCAGCTTCCTCATTTGATCACATCAAGTTTTATACATTTTCACTAGAAAAAAAAAATATTCAAAGGTGAAACGTCTCTCAACTAGAGAAATTGCCTGGCCAACGTCAAAAAATCGACCCAAGGGTGACCTTTAACTACAGAATACACTATTTATTGGAATGATGCCATCTTAATGAACTTTCCATTTTCACTCGTAAAATGAAATATCCAAACATGAAACATCTACCAACATACCAAGTATATTTGGAATGTTTTGGTTAGGTTGGTTTTGAAATAACTGTCAGTATGAGAACCTGCAAAATAACAGACACAACCTGAGGCTTTGCCATCATAACACATTATTGGTTTCCTTGGTGCCTGTTTTATGTCCCTTAAGACATGATCACATGAATATAAGTATCACAATCACTCTACAGGGAAGAGCAAACTTACTGGCATACATTGTTGTAGAAAACACTGAAAAGCCTCAGTTAATCATCCACCTTAGCACTATGCCTCTCCTTGATTGTGGGTCTACTTCAGGTACTCTTAAAATGGAATAGGTTCCCCCATTGGGCACTCGATATAGACATGAGGCCACAACACATGTAGCAACATTCATCTAAACAACACATCACTTCTTTAAATTACGTTAGAAAAATATTTAAGTTTTCCTCAAATCAGAACCAAAATTTGTAATATTGGACCCAAAAAGTCAAACTTAAAGACCATTTTGGGATGGTGGAAAATTACATTGTCAGCAGCAAAAAACCCCCAAACCAGATCCAGATATAATATTGCATGCAAGAGCTAAATTTGAAATCTCTAAATTACAACGACATTAATATACTCCATCCGTCCCATAAAATTCTCGAGAGTTTGACTTCAAAGAATTTAAGAAAGTTGTTGAAAAGTAAAAAGTGTGTGGTTAGAATTTGTTCAGAGGAGAGGGAATTGTGGGTAGCTACATATTCATTACAACTATAGAAAATAAAGTAACTAATAATATTTTTTGAAAGGTCCAAAAATTAAAATATTCTATAAAATAAAGTATGATAACATCCAACCAACTAACCAAGCCTTAATTCTGAATCCATGGGGTTGGCAACTTGAGCCAAATGAAAATCTTGTACAAAGTTCTATTTCTACTTTCTTTTATGTCATTATATCTAAGATTAACCAAAAATATAGATACAAATTTAGATGTTGAGAACTTTAACAAGGACTAGAAAGAGAAGTGCTTGGATAAAAAATGTCCCATTAATTTGGAAGCTGATTTGTTAACTAACATTGTTTAGGGCCAAAAGGTGAGGTTAGAGGTGAGGAACAACAGACCGTTTGTGGAAATATCGGTATATCACTAAACCTACACTCAGCTATCATGATTTAATATAACCTTATAAAGGAAATTCACTTAAACATATTATGAATGCGAACAGGAATGCATCAGACCTTTGATCATGGTGTCGACTTCAGAAAGAAGGGTGAAGTTATTCTCCATGGCAAACCAAGTTCAAAGCAATTAAGTGACCTATAAAAGAAGAAATACAACTAAAGATAAGATGACTACGAGTTATTTATTGTATCTATGACAAGGAGAATTCAAGACTTATACGACCTCAAAAAAGACCTTACCAAAAGTACTCATTGAAATCATCATAATTTCTCCAGGCTGAATGAGGTGCCCGCCCATCCCTCCCCCTCGGAACAAAATGTCTTTGTATGCAACAAGCTCTCTTAGTTTCCATATCACTAGCTCTCATAGTTTTATGTATATTTATAAATATACACAAGCATGCACACATACATATACACATATTGTCATGATAATGCAATAATGATATACAAAAGATATTTAGATGGTTTGAGTGAGAGTATCCCCATGTCATTTTCCAAAAACTATAAACAATTAAATAGCAAGCATAGAATATGTCTCTCCTCCACAAATAACAAACCTAAGTATTTAAAAGCAAACATTAATCCTATCATATCCTCAGCCAAAGAAAAGTCCTCAAGGTTGTCCCCAATGACTATATCATATTTTTCCATGGTTGTTAAGTCGACGAGTCGAGTCGAGTCGGTGACAGGGAGACTAGTGGACTAGGCGACTAGTCGTAGACTAGTCGTAGACTAGGCGACAAATCACAATTAGAATAAAAAATTTTAACATTTTATATATCTATATTAACCCAACATGAATATATATATATATATATATATATATATATATATATATATATATATATGTCAAAACACCATAACCAAAGCAAACTTATGTTTAAAGATAGCACATAAAGTCACTTAACAAAGAGTACATAACAAACAAATATCCTTCAATCTTTGAAAATAACACACCAAGAAAGATAATTAACCAAATAAGAAGTCAAAGGACATATTAAAATAGTTAATTCCATGTTTTGAGTTATCAAAAAACTGAAAAAAAAAATTGAAATATTAAACTGAAAAAAAACTGAAATACTAAAATACTAGAATAAGAAAAAAATTAAAATATTAACTGAAATCAGAAAAAAAACTAAAATATTAAAAAAATAGAAGAAAACTGAAAATTTTAAAGTATATTACACTTTATAGTTTAATGAACCAAATCAATGAAAATTAAATCAAATAGAGTATACTTTAATGACAACAAAGTAAAAGAAATCTTACCCATGGAGGAGAGTCGCTGCTGGAGGCTGATGGAGGAGAATCGATGGAGGAGAGTCGCGGAAGTCACCCAAGAACGGGAAGCCTAGAGTCGCGAACCTCCAGACTGCCGATTGGGTCGGGTTGGGTTGGGTCGGGTCGGGTCAATTGAATTAGGTCAAAATCGGCCAATTTTTTTCACCGATTAGGCGTCGCCTAATCGCGGCTAAGCGTCGCTAAGCGCGCTTAATAGCCTAGTCGGCCATAGGCGCTAGTCGTACAGCACATCTCCATGGCAAAACCGCCCGGACGACTAGTCCGCGACTAGTCGTGGCCTAGGCGACGACTTGACAACCATGTATTTTTCCAAATGTGAAAGTTTCTAGTACCAAGGTAAATGGAGACCAAGAATAGTTAAAAGTAGATCCGCAACACCCAATCATACACATTCAATAAAAATATATCCAACACACTTTAAATCGATATATATTCAAGATAAAAGCATCAAATAGTTAATGACCAACGAATCTACATTGATATAAATAAATACTCCAACCGTCCCATTTGAAATTTGACAGAGAATAAATTACGGAGTTTAAGAAGCTTAAGCCTTGTTTAAGTCTTGTGCCTTATGTGCCTCTGTATGCCTCATCCACCTAGGGCGTAAGCCTCAAAATACCAACATGAGGCTTAAACCCATCGCCTTTAACATTCCCACTTCAAGGCAGACCCCCTCAAACGCCTTAGAAAACCATGAGAACGAGTTCAAGATTCCGTTTTTGAGTATCAGGTGACAAGTATTGTATCAAACATAGAGTATATAAATTGCTCCATCTTATGGGCAAGCTTAAAGAGAGTAAAAATTTGAAATCTAGTTTAGAAACCCTGGGCTTTATAAGCTTAGGCCCATTATATTGTTCTTTATATATGCAGTGTACTAGTAATAGGAGAGTAACAAGCGCCCTTGTTGTATGAGAATTGAAACTACGCCATATGTACATGCACAACAAAACAAATGATCTGCAATGGATGGAACTTCAAATACAAACCAGTATTCCCAACAGTGCAGTAACTTTCTGAATCCTTAGTGGTAGCTTATTCAATTCAATATCAACAAGTATGCTCCTATTAGCTATGCTTCTCTGAATCTCGTCATATACTCTCTCAACCCTGCAATGGCACAAGAAGAGAGATGAATCTTTCTGACCAAATAACTTGCAAGCCAGAAATATTTTCCTTAAGGCATCAACTTACCACTTCTTACCCTCAGTATCCAACACAGATGTGAGGACTAACTTGAGGGTATAATAACATCTTGAACAGCATATTTCATGTATTCGTCCCTTAAAATCCTGTCCCATAGCTCCTCTTGCGAAAGTCTGGGCTCTTTACCCTCAATAGCAGTATCTTTAGCAAGAAATATCTGTGCAAGAGGCAAAAGACATACATACCAGGAAGAGAAATAACAATATGTGCATACTTAACTAGCATAGAAACAAAACAAGTATTATAATTTCTGATAGCAACCTTGCTTGCTAGAAGGAACAGAGGCCATTGAACCAAGGGAATATTGTCTATTATCCCTGAATTTTTAGGCATTAAAAGCAACTCCATTTCCCTGAATATTAAAGAAGATGAATGTGTGTCTAGTGAGCTTTAGTGAGCAGTCAATGAATAAGATCTGATGACAGAAAATGCCATGGCCACAAGTAAAACTCACAAACTATTAGTGTAGTCTTCTTCCCTCAAATTCCTTATAATCTCATTCCAAAAAGGAGCAAACTTAGCAGCATCAACTTTGTTCCTCTCTAGTTCCTATCAATTGAACAGTATCATTTAATAATCAATTTAATCAAAATCAAATATAAGAAAGCAACTACTCCCACTGAATGCAATGATATAGCGTCCTTGCTATTTTCACATGTCTAACAAAACAATTGTACATCATAATATCAAAATGTTTTTTATTTATCCAAAACAGGTTAATAGGATGGGGATGGCGCCAAAATGGCATTGCTATGGGAACACTGGTTGCCACAACTAGATTTGTGGTGATTATGAGCCCAATGGCCAATGGCGCATATATGGTGCGTGCCATTTCCGCTAGCGATAAGCCTGGCAGTAACGACAGTAGAAGAGTAGGACTGTGGATAAAGCTTTTGACCCAAGGGTGGTGATGGTGGAAGAGGCTGTGGATATTGCAATTGATATTGATATTCAAATTGCAACATTTTTCAATATGTTGAACTGATCTCTTGGCCAATTCACAGTATAAACCATACTCATCAACAGAACAATAATTTAGAAACAAAGATGCACAAAGTCTGAAACTCTATTTTTCTAACTTTTTTTTTACAACTTCTTTGTATGCTTTTTCTAGTTTCAAAAAAATACATTAGAAATATAAAAAATTAAAATACGATGCAAGAACATCAAACACAAAATTATCCAACCACTTTTCTATTGTTGATATTTTCTAGTTGAAAAAAAACCAAAGGAGCAAGAGGGATAAAAAGGGTAGGAATGAAAATGGTTCTAATACCAAATTGTTACAAATGTATTAGCAAACGTGGAAGAAGAATATCTTTCCCTGTTTGTGACTAGGAGGGGAGAGCACGTGATGACTAAAATCTCATTATTAGATATTTGACTTCAACCATTCATCATTTCATTAATCATTGTGTGAGTATAAATGGGCAACACCTTAAAAGACACCTATCATAATCATACTAGGAAACATGAATCCTTATTTAGGGATATTGACTAAAATAGAATAAGACTAGTAATAGGAAATTAAAAATGATAATAATAATAATTATAGTAATAATAATAATCATAACCATAATCTTAATAATAATGATAACAATATTTTTTATTAATGTTCATATCAAATTATAAAAATAAAAGAAAACATAAGTCTAGGGGTAAATAGAAACATTATTTAGATAAGGTCTTAAAAGGAAGGTAAAAACTAAAGTGATAAATTGGAAGATAAGGAAGAATATTTCAAGTCTATGTAGTGTGATGTACTCTGTATTAATTACACAGTAAAAAAACAGAAACAAACATAACATCCCCATCCCTTGGCCCACCCCCGCCGGATAAAGGTTAAATAAATAAGAAAATTAAAAAAATTAAAAATGAAAAGAAACTGAACATGGGGAATTGAAAGGAGCAAAACAAAACAACAAATTCCCTAAATAGGACTTGTTATGTTTTTTCCAAGAGTGGATTTAAATGATTAATTAAATATTTATTCATAATTTCTATTTACCATTTTATCCATTAAATCTCAGATCTTTCGGTGTGATGCATCATCGCTTACTCCGGTCACCCCTTTTCAAGGTCAAATAGTGCACAACATAAAAACCATGCGTAGAGTGGCAAAGTAACGCACCTTGCAAGTTCTTTTGAATTTGTCAAAAACAGAAGAAATGCAAGCTCTTTTAAATTTGTTTATAGAAAACAACAAAGATGGGCACCTAGTCAAGTAAAAGAACTCGGAGTAATAACAAAAAATAGTAATAAAAGGACAAACCTTTTCTTTCCCATTGATGTCAGCCTTCACAAGTTTCGAGAAGTATTCTTCGTGCACTTTTCCTTCAATCAGTGTCTCAACCTCATCACTGAAAGCAACTCGAAGTGCTTCATTTCTACAAAAATGGATCGCAATGAATGAAACTCAGATATTGATGAATGAGAGTTATTACTTATTGATTATTAGTATTTGAATCAGATTATGATCAAAAAATTCAGATGAGACCACACCAAATCAGAAACATATACAACTTTAATTTTAATTGAAATTAAATGAGACTAGACTAGAAAGATTTCAGTCATATCAGACCTTAATATATCAAACTAATGAGATAAGACGAAGAGAACATGCTCTTAGGCTTTCTGTGTAAGGTAAGAGGTTATCATCAATTAATTTCTAAATAAAAGAGATTGCCATTTGATCACCTTTGCATTAGTAATGCAATTTCCGCAGCCTCAGGCTTTTGATTCTCTTTCTGTTTCCCATATATTTGGCAGGTAACTACATACGTAAATTTGAGATCTACTTGAGCTCTTGCTTCAAGAGACAACTCAAAACCTTGGGTATCAGTTGCTTTGCTCTGTGAAATTGGAACCTCAGAATCTAAAGATGCATGTACCAGAGTATTATTAGTAAACAACCACAGTAATGACTAATGAGAAAAAGAACATTAGAACATAATAACTTCATCTCGTATATGATAACCTCGGGCTGCCACCCTTTCCAAATATGCTTTAAGCATGAGAGCTTTTCGGTAGTACATCATTCCACACACTGCAAAACCCAATGAATTGTGTTTGTAAACCAAAATCATAGAGTATAAGAATAAGCACATCTCAAAAAAGTTCAAAATATAAGCCATTTATTTTTTTTACAAATCTCAATATATTTTCTGAGCTACATTCTCACCCTTTCTCCTTTAAAAGTAACAAAATAAAAATGAGCACATACCATATTGTGTTTCCACTTGGTAAAAAATTGTTTTTCCTAGCAAACCACTTTTTTATTTCTAGTTTATACATTGATTGAGCAAGGAAAGTTTAGGGAACAAAAACGGAATGCAAAAATTACGTCATTCATTATTTGTTAACAGAAAGAGTTGAATGCATGCATCCATGCCATTGGAGCTAAAAGAGTTGTTAGTGACAATGTCTTTACTTCAAGTAATAGCGGACTAAAAAATGACAGAGTAAACTTTTTTTGCTAATTACTTTCTATGAAGTTTTAGGTAGTAAAAGCACCAATGCATCACAAGGTCCAATGGAAAGACACGCTCAGTTTTTTGTACATCTTCACCTTCATACCCAAAGAGGCTTGGGATTATTATGGGTTTTGATGTAGAAACAACTGAACGCAACATAGGTTGTAGGTGACAAAACATTGGTGGCATAAGACGACAAATATATGAGTGAAACGCGTACCAGTCCTAGCCAATGTTTGCCCTCTCTATGAATCCCAAAAGCGCAATTCAAGAATATCATTGGCATTATTACTAAGATCTGATTCTGATGTGTTTTCATCACGGCCAATCCGAGTAAGGAAGTTTCTCCACTCATCTGCATTCAACATTAATTTCTTTCTCATGAACCATTGACACTACAAAATACTCACAATAATGAACCAACCTGTATAGGAAAAAATAACAAACAAATCCAGATATAACAATGGCCAATTGAGTATTAAAGGCCACAACATATAGAACCCTAAAGTTAAAATTGTAAATTTGGATTCTGATAAGCGTCCAATCAGATTGGTGTATTCAAGAAGGAAAAAGCAGATGGCACAGGGTGGGCCGGCAGAAGTGGAGCAGCTCAAAATGTTAATGGGCATTTCAAACAACCCACTAAATGGCTGAGTGGGTGGTTACGTAGCAGTAACCCATCTCCCCTCGGAGTGGGATTTATTGCTTGAGTCATGTTATTTTCTGGTGTGATTATTTTTCATTATATTTTCCTTTGAGAGTCTGGAGACTATCCCTTCTCGAATTGGGACTTGATGTACACTTTTTCATTCTAAATTCAATCAATTCGACTCAAGCTTTATCAGATTCCCTTTTAAAAATTATGCTAGGTCCAGGTAGGGGTAATGAAATTTTCAAAAGCTAAGCTCAAAGGAAAGCCTGAAAGGGTCACATGAGCACTCATGATCATTACATGCTTGATCAAAGGAAAGCCGGAAGGGGAATAGTGAGGTTTTGAAATCTAAGAATAGCTCTCAAAAGGCAAATGTATTCAATTCATGGATCGTATTAATTCTACATGGACTTGAATATATTTCAATGTATTTTAATATCGGGATTTGTTTATATTCTAAAAATTCCATAGATAGTTCTAACATCAATAATTGATTACAAAATCTGGTATGTTGGATTGTACTTTGTACCCCTGTCGATATACCTATGGATCTGAATGTTTAATTCCTTCCGGTATAGAGTTGCTCATAGAGTAGAGAAATACACACTGCCATCGAAAAATTGAATTATCTCACAATCACTTGAGCATGCACATTTCATTTACCATTAAATAAGCAGTCAATTCCTTAACAAACAATGTAATGATCATTCGGATGCTACTATACGAGTTTTATGTATATCGAAAACACATTAGGGCAAAGATTACTCTATGAAGATAAAGGTCATGGCAATATTGTGGCATACTACGATGATGTTAGGGGACACATCGGGGTATTATATCTTGATAGATGGGAACTTAATCCTGTGGAAGAGCTGAAACAAGATTCAGTTACCAAATCAAGTGCAGAAGCAGAATACAAAGAAATGGTGGCTCGAGCTGCATGTGAGAGCCTATTGGTTCTCAATGAAACACAAACTCTTCTTCCCAGAAATGTTATATGGGAGCAAAGAACCAATTTGGTTAAAGTGAGATTTTCAAGCATCAGTACACATCACATCAAGTACACTAGTACAGTCTGAGATGACCAGCCACACCCACATTGAAATTGATTGTCAATTTATCCGAGAGAAGATCATAGTCACCCACTACCTCAGTACTCATCAAACAAAATCACTTAGAGGTACCATAAAAACTTGCATCTGTAAAAACTTTCAAACAAATTATATATGCTCCAGCATGAGAAGTGTGGAATATTGTTAAGAAATACAGAGTATGATGTCCTCAATGTCATTAAAATAAATTCGCAGCCTATATATCCCTTAATTCTTCTTCATTTTCTATCAAGATAAAGAAATATTATCTTAACTTTTCACAAAGTTCAATTGAAAAAACAAGTTTAAGCAAAAGATGCTAGTGTGACACTACGTCACTACTGCGAAAGTTGTGGAATTTAAGTTTCTAAGTTCAGACCTCAAGTTCATGTTTTTACAATTTTCAATATTAAGGATTCATTATCCTTTTATATTTGAAAATTTGAAACGTTGAACATACTTTAATATGCTCTAGCTTTGGAGGAGGGGGAAGGGGAGAACTGTTGTCAAATACATATCCTATCAAAGAAGGCACTTTGTCAGTTGTCACATCAGATAAGAAAGTTATATACCTGGATATATCTTTTGTAGGTAAAACAAAGTAAAGATCCCGTCTTCATTTCTTTTAAGGAGTTCAGACATGCTGTACAGGACAGTCTCAGAGTAATATGGTGTGAACACACTGCAAGGAGTGCAAGCACATAAAAATATAGTCAAAATTTAGTAAATGGTCTAGAATCAAGCCAAAGAAATAGAAGATCATTACTTAAAGGACAGCATCTCACGAACAGGTTTTGCTACTGGCATCTCCATGAAAAGGGAGTTCGGGAAGAATTCCAGCCGACGTCTGGCTTCAAGATTCCTTGGGATATTGTGAGCAGAGTCCTTGATGGTGAGAAGTGAATAATGCCTTCTAACTTGAGCCCTCTAAATGAATTACATGGTCATGTACATAACTTAAAGGTATTAGAAGAGATGAGGTGGTGCCAAGGCAAAAGCCACTATGCAAAACATTGAACAAAAAAGGTGCATTATACTCCATATACAACTATCACACACCAAATCAGCATCTCTCGGCCACCTCAACTTCTGAAATAACCTACCTTCATTCCTAGCTTTTAACAAATCATTCCATGTCTCGAGGTGCTTGCTGAAAAGAAGTCTCAGATATATTTAACACATAACACAGAACGCAGAAAAGAAATGATTGTAACTTAAACGGGACGGTGGGAGCCACAAACAACAGCGTCATCGACGAATGAGTAAATTAAAAGTTGAAAAGAAAATGCACATGATGATGTTTGAAGAAAAAATGAGTCTAGGGTTTCATTAATTATAACTCCCTCTGTCCGGAAATTTTCCTCACATTCCTTTTTGGACCATTTTAAAGTTTTCTTTCCATTTCCTTATTGGGCAAAACATTGTGTAAAATACCTTATTTACCCTTTTTCATTATTTTCCCTCATTACTCCACTCTAACTCTAGATTTATCTGCTGACAGCAATCACATTTTCATTCTTTCTTCATTCTTCCCTGTCGATTCTTCTTCTTCCATCAGATTTGTACATGCCATCTTCTTTTTCCATTATTCTTTTTCTCCCTTCATTTTTTTATCTCTTTCTTTCAACTTAATAGTTTTAGAAGATCTACTCCATGGCAAAATATACTCCAACGTATGGGTTCCGGATTGGACAGGCCGCAGCATCTCAAAGCTAGGAATTCCTTCAAGCACCACAAGGAATTCCATGTGCCGTCGTAGTAGCAAGAGCAGAGGCCAGAGGTTGAGGAAGGCAACCCAAGCTGTAAATTTCCAGCTTGTCTGTCGTCTGATAACTTAGGTAGTAGCATCTTGTATGTCATGGAAAGGACAAATCTAAAGTTGAAAGAATGGTTATCTTTTCTCACCATGTAAATATTAATAGATTATGCCTAGGTGCATCATTCTTCATAAAATCGGTAGATTAATTGGAAGAGATGCCAGGGTTTTAAGTCTTTCTGAGACATACGAAATGGTTTTTTTGGTAGCAAACATTGTCTATGTAACTTGTAAACTGTAACTTATATGCTCCAATTTGACCAGGAATGTTTTAAATAAACTCAACAAATGTTAACTATAGGCCATGCATATAAATATAGAACAGTAAGTAAGGATTAACACGCAGTTAATATAGTATATTTCCCAAACTCTACACCCATAAGATTAAAATTAAACACAATAACATTAAATTATGAAACAAAATCCCCTTAAATGTGAAGTAAATTTACCAGAAAAAATATCTTCACTAATATTTATTACGCGAGATGCTTTGCTGATACCACCCCTAGTTATATGGAATAGTCTATCAAAGACATCTGGATGACCATAATGCATACGAACCCTGATGATCATTTCAAATACAAGTTAGACAGACTTTTCTTTCATAGTTTCATGATTACTCTGTAAATGCCATGGAACAAAGGATTTGCTAGAACACGTTGGCCAAGAGTCACAAAGCTAGATTCCTGATTAGACATGAAATATGCTTAAGAAGAAACACTGAGAAGATGCACAAGTTTAAAGAGTCAGAAGCCTAAATAAATGAACTCTGTAAGGGACAAAATACCTCTAATACCATACCTTCCAGTAAACACATGCTCCCTAACATCAAGAATAGCAGGGGGGCGAACTCCATGGTCACAGTAAAAGTCTTCAAGAAGATTTCGGACCTTCAAAGCCTCCTCAAAGTGATTATCCTGTCCACATACAAAGAGAAATAAATAAAAAATATATACTATCAATTTGCCCTGTAAATAACATTAAGGTCAATATCAATATAAAAAATATTAGTCCCCTGATTCATATCAATGGTCTGTATTGCATTTCCACGTGTAAATATAATAGCATGATTTTGATTTTCAGGTTTCCCTTCACCAAGCTTTGGATTTCCAGGCAATTTCACAGAATATATTTCCTGTAATGATTCTAATAGATCTAGACTCACCGTCGCCGCCGCCGCCGCCATCATCCCCACCATCGTCGCCGCCATCTTCATTCCCCCATCGTCACCACCGTCCTCAGCCCCGCCATCGCCTCCACTGCCCTTACCCTCACCATCGCAAATCTAGACGGCGTAGAAGAAGAAGAATACAGAGGAGAAGAAGAAGAAAGAGAAGAAACGAGAAAGAGAAGAAAAACAAAGAAAAGAAGACAAAAGAAGAAGAAAGGGAAGAGAGAAGAAGAAATCTGACAGACCAGCGGACTATATTGGAGAGAAAGAAATGAAGAAAGAAAAAAAGAAAGAAATAAGAAAGTGGCGGACGAAATTGGGAAAAAAAAGAAAGAAATGGAGGAGGGGTGTTTAAGGTATTTTGTGTGTTAAAATACGTAATGAGAAGATCTATGGCGGACAAATAAAAAGGATTAATGGGAATATCTATGAGTGACGGAGAGATTATTTGACTTCAACCATTCATCATTTCATTAATCATTGTGTGAGTATAAATGGGCAACACCTTAAAAGACATCTATCATAATCATACTAGGAAACATGAATCCTTATTTAGGGATATTGACTAAAATAGAATAAGACTAGTAATAGGAAATTAAAAATGGTAATAATAATAATAATTATAGTAATAATAATAATCATAGCCATAATCTTAATAATAATAATAACAATATTTTTATTAATGTTCATATCAAAATATAAAAATAAATGAAAACATAAGTCTAGGGGTAAATAGAAACATTATTTGGATAAGGTCTTAAAAGGAAGGTAAAAACTAAAGTGATAAATTAGGGGACATCGAGCGTTGAAGAGAAACCCTAGGTAAACAGATCTGTGTAGCGTATTCCCGAAGCTTGGAGATCAGCGATTTCGTCTCTGTTGAAGCAGCAGACATCTAAAAGGATGAATACAAAAATCCTAAACAAAAATAGCGTTAGAGCACCCGCATCGGCAGGAGAACTCAAACGGAGGAGAAAAACTTTTCCCGGAGAAGTTGCCGCATTTGAAGGAGGAGTAGATGGATTTTGAAATTAATCTAAATGGATTTTGAAGGAGAAGAACTTAATTTAAATTTTTTTGAAAAAGTATGACATCAATTTATTAATTAACAAAATATAAATTTTTTTTGTCAAGTTTTTAAAAATATTTGTATAATATAAATATTTAATAATACAAAAATCATTTGGATTATATTATAAATAATATTTTAGTAGTCCTTTTGATGTCAAAAGTAAGGAGAAGTAAATGAGAAGTTGTTTATTAGGTCCCAAAAAGATATGTGGAGGAGAGAATTGGAGTAATCTTCCACTTTAGTAGTCCGCCTAATGCGGTTGCTCTTAGGCTTACGCTTTCAATCCTTTCAACAATTTCGGAGCACTGTTTATTAAATTAGATGGAAACACTGTTTGCAATTAGCCAGTTTTACTGTTCCAATTTGGCTCTAATCTTTGTCTAGATAGAGATAGAGATAAAGATAACTAGTATTTCACCCTTAGGTTGCACGGGAATATATATTAACTCTACAATTTGAAATAAATATAAAATATTTAAATCATTCTTTTTTAAAATAAATAATATCTAAAAATATATTAGAATAACCGATATATCATATCATTCAATAGAAAAATATATGTTTGTGTAAGCACATAGAACATAACCGTAGTGTGTTAAAATGTGATGCTTGTAACAAAAAAAAGAAGTTTATCTCATTAAAATGCAAAAAATTACTTACGGGTGACGTGAGTTTTATCGAAATAACTCTCAGGCCCCTCTATTTTCAAGAAGACAACTGAGGTTCTTATATTTTGTTGTAATGACTGGGAGGGGACATTTCATCCAATATTTCATCCATAAATGTTAATAAATGTATTTTTTCCTATTTTTTCATTACCGTTTTTTCCTATTTTGGCATTACTCGGTTTTTTCTTTTTTAGAAAATATTTTTTTTCATTTATTTTAATATAATACAAACAATTTTGAATTTTTATCCGATTTTATAGAAGAAATTCTAAAATAACACTTTAAAAAAGAGCAACAAAAAAAAGAAAAACAATGAAATAAAAAAAGGAGTACCTAAGATTTACACCGTATTACCTTAAAACATTTAGAAAAATATAGGAAAAAAATACATTTATTTACGTTTATGGATGAAATATTGGGTGAAATGTCCCCTCCCGGTCATTACAACAAAATGTAAGGAGCTTCGTGGTCTTCTTGAAAATAGAGGGACCTGAGAGTTATTTCGACAAAACATGCGTCACCCGTGAGTAATTTTCTGCATTAAAGTGTCCTCTTCTTTGTGGTAAAAGGTAATAAATGACCTTTTTGTAGCTCTTTTCTCACACAATCTAATCTTTGAATAAACCTACTTGAAAAATAAAATAATGCCAAACTCACATAGGACATTATATTACTATTCAAGAATATTACTAAAAAAGAGACAAAGAATTTGTTGTAAAAGTTAAATTAAAAGATGAAAGATATTGTACTATGGTTCAAATTTACACATCACAAATGAAACTTTAAATTTTCTTTTTTTACTATTACATAATTAACATCTTTATAACGTACTTGTTATGTACATTTTACAAATTTTCTAAAATAGGGACTAATTATTCTATGGATGTTTGGCCACAAAGACTATTTGATAAATTTTAAAAGTTGAAGACTATTTACACACTTATGAAACTGAATTTCCCTATATAATCTTCTTTTCAAAATTATTCTTTTAGGGCCTGTTCTTTTGGACTTGAACTCTTAACTTCCGGTTTTTTCCAGTTCCTTCCAGTTTTTTCCAGTTTCTTCCAGTCCAGTTCCTTCCAGTTTCTTCCAGTTCTTCCAGTTTTTTCCAGTTTCTTCTAGTTTTTTCCAGTTTCTTCCAGTTTCTTCCAGTTTCTTCCAATTTCTTCCAGTTTTTCTTGTTTTTTCTAGTTTCTTCTAATTTCTTCCAACTATATTTATTTTCTTCAAATTCTTTCTACTTTCTGACAAATCACTCTAAAAAAATATATTATTATTATTATTATTCTTACAATTTTTTAATTACAACTTTTATGTTGATAACTATAGTTTATAAATTATTTCATTTTGTCATCTCACTATTTTCATGATTCATATTCATTATTTTTTTCTTCAACTTTTTAATATGAATAATACCATTTTTTTGTATATTAATCTACAAGAAAAAATAGGAAACTATTTAAAAAATTATGGTTAAATAGTTATATACACCCTCCGTCCCCAAATATTCACAACATTTGCTTTTTCAACAATCGCGGGAACTTTTGTTTATTTCGATGTTTTCATTGATTATTTGATAAAATAAAATATTCTTGACACCTCTTATTTCGAAGAACTTTTCATACAGTTTTTTAATATGTAAATTTTATTTTTTTATTTCTATACCAATATGTAAATAAAATGAATTGAAAAAATTTAATATTTTGCCTCGGGAATACAAATGTGGCAAATAATTTGGGACGGAGGGAGTAGAATATTTTTTAATCTAAATTTATATAAGGTAAAAATCAATATTTTAATCTAAAATATAGTACCTTCAATTAAGTTTAACTACATTGTAGAATATTAAGTGCTAATTCATCTCTAATTATTTTTTTAAACTATCTTTTTATGTATGAAAATAATATTCGTAATATTTTTTTATTTTAAAGACAATCATTTAGATAACGTAATAACACCACCACTACCACCTCCACCACCACTAACAACAACAACAACAACAATAATAATAATAATAGCAATAATAATAATAATAATTTATATCAACAACAATCAGAATGAGAATAATTTAAAACCACACATAAAAAATTTTTAAAAACTTTTTTTAGATTTTACAATTTATTCTAGTTTTTTCAGTTTCTTTTAATTTTTTCCTATTTTTCTAGTTTTTTCCAGTTTCTTCTAGTTTCTTCCAGTTTCTTCCAGTTCCTTCCAGTTTCTTCCAGTTTCTTCCAGTTCTTCCAGTTTGTTCCAGTTCCTTCCAGTTTCTTCCACTTTCCATCTCTTTTTTTCCAGTCCTAAAGAACAGGCCCTTAGTAGTTTTCTATATTTAAGAACTATTCACTTAAAAAAAGGCTTGTTTTTAATGTTTTTAAAATTTTTAAGTAACATTTTAAAGTAAATATTTTATACACACCAATAGAGAGCACATGCACAAAAAATATAACGTCTAACTGAATATGTATGGTATTAAAATGCTCAGAAGAACAATTTTTAGAGTAATAATACTTGGCCAACATTCACTTGATTTAAAAATCCAAACTTAAAATGCATAACGATTTTTGGCACCCATATAAAGTTACTTGGCATCATCATAAAATATGAAGATATTTGTGTCTTTGTAGTTCAAAAATTCCGTACATTGCTTCCCAATGCTAATTTGAGCCGTCTCATTAGCAACACTCTTTGTTCATAATGCTTTCTTTTGTTGGCTTGAGTGGACATTGAAATAGCTCCAAATATTTCATCTACATGGTAAAAGGTTAATAATATAGTGAAATCTGTACTAAATAGGATCAAAACATTATACATTTCCCAATGTCTAATATATATTTAAACATCATGGAAAAAAGATCATTTTTAAAAAAAAAATCATAAGGTTGTCACCAAATTATATGAAAGAGCATGTAAATTTAAAGGAGGTGAAACTGAGAAAAATTAAGTAAATCATTAAAGAGGTTTTGTGGCAAGTACTTGTCACCTGTAAACTTCTGCAAAAGCCAGTGTCATCAAAACTTTTCTAAATCCATAACTTAAAAGATCACTTACCAAGAAAGATCATCTGTAGAAAGAATTTTTAAAATAAAGTTGTAGCAATATGAGCAAGGTACATCAACACCAAATCATAAAACTAAATATCAAGTATCCTTTTTTTTGCAATAGATGCAAAAGAAACCAAACCCAAAATTCCAATTAAACTAACTCCAAAATTAAGGATTTGGATATCACATGATACCCAAATAAGCATCGGATTGTGCACAGGCGAAACCCAAAGAGGCAATGTAAGATGCCTAAGACCATCTCCAACACAAAACACTTAATGGCAGACATGCACTCGGATGTTCCAGTATGTATCCATAGGAACCAGCAATGGCAGACATGCACTCAGATGTTCCAGAATCTTGCATGAACTTGGCATGTGCAAAATCAGCAACATGAGCTTTGTAGTTTGAGTCGAGAAAATTGTTGTTTGATTTCACGTCATGATGAAGGATCAAAGGGGAGCAGTCGGGATGGAGATAATCAGTCCATTTGCAGCCTTCATAGCTATCTTGTACCTCGTGTCCTAATGTGAATGCCCACCTTTCTTGCCATGGATCATTTCACCTAAATCCCATTTGGCATGTACTCATAAACTAACTAATTTGTCTCATAGTTTGAACAGAAATCTAATAATTTGACAATGTGTCTGTGCCAGAAGAGTCTGTAATTCTGCATTGAACCTGGATCATGTGAAGATCCACGGCTCATGGCTGGAAACCTGTTCATAGCAACTTGTTCACCATTAGGCATAAGTCCGTTGTAGATTATACCCGCACCTCCTTTACCAACAATGTTGTCCTTCTTGAGGTAATCTAGAACGTCATCACAAGTGAAATCTAAGCGTTGGAATGCAATAAGCTTCAATGCACAAGCATCAATGGCCTTCTCCAAAGAACAGGCCTTAATGGTTGCCACACGATTTAACAGACAAGCAGCTCAACCATAGATCTGGCTTCCCAAGAATGAAGTGTAATTGAAATAACTACAGTTCGAGGAAAAATTCCAGATAGATTGTTGTATGCAAATTCGAATGAAGTTAAACCCCGCATAGAGGTAATTAGCAATGGAATGCTCCCAATTAAGTGGTTTCTAGACAGGTTCAAGTAGTTTAATATCCTAATGCCTGTAATCTCAATCAGGATTTCACCAGATAGCTCCTCATGCCTGTAATCTCAATCGGGATTTCTCTATATAGCTGGTTCTGGCTGAGATAAACAAATGTTAGCAACTTGCATCTGCTAATCTCTGATGCAATGGTACTAGATAGGCTGTTTATGTTGAGATCCATATTAGACAACTGATGCAATTTTCCAAAATCTACCGAAATGTGGCCAAAAATTTATTTCCATCAAGAAGAAGAAGCTTCTGGACATCAACAAAATTTCCAATGCTTTTAGGCAACGAAAATAATTCATTGATTTTTATAAATGTCCAGACTTTAAAAATCAATTAAAGAGAAGGGAAAATACTACTTTAAAATGGTAGCAAGGGGAATAAGCATGAAGCTGTAAACGTATGTCAAGAATCCAAAGTTGAGACATTATCCCTACATTTATGAAAAGATAAAGAGAATGGAACATTTTGCCATACAAATTAAAAAGTACGTAGTAAATCATCAAAAACAAACATGGATTACCCTGATCCACGAAGTCGTGCACCTGTGGTGCGCCTTCCATCGTGCATTGTGTTGTTAGAATTTAATCGTAGGATATGTTAGGGCCGAAACCCTAGCCTTGTGGAGCGGTCATTCATGTTGGCATCGTTACCCCCTTGTGTCATCTCCATTCCAGTGCTAGGGAGCTGCGCGACGGTAAGAAAAAATTAGATTTCGGCAATTGTGCTTGAAGATTTCGTGGGTCTGTCACGATTGAATCAGTTTCAATGACGATAGTCTATCCAAGGGGAGGACGGCAATCAGAATAGAAGAGGATGGAGAAAAGTCAGTTAAACCGTAAATGCCGGTTAGGATCTGAAATTGCCAGAAATTTGACCGTCCGATAGCATCTCAAATTGAAATTGCGTCGTTAGATTTGGGCGAATCAATTCTGATTCTACTTTTATATATATGATAGATAATAGAAGTTTTTAAAAGCCCTTTAGAATTGACATGTAAATACACTTTACTTTATAAATTTATCCTTGAAAATATTCTGAAAATTTTTTTTATTCTTTAATAAGAGACAAAGATTCATGCACATCTTAATAAACGAGAAGAGCAAATCTTGAAAATGAAATCAAAGAAGGTGGCATCTTTTGCCATTAGAAATGTGTTCGTCATGATAATTACCTCTCTTGCATGACAGCAATGCATCCTTCTTTGTTGGTTATCTACAACAGAACAAAAGTCAAAGAAATCAGTGGAAATGACATTCCAAAAGTAATTTTCGATTTAAAATCCTTTCCAGGCATCTAGTCTCAACTCTGCTTGAGTTTTCAACAATTAATTGGTACAATTAATACCTAAACTGTATTACCTAATAGTGTTATAATTACAAAAGCAAACATGCTAAGATTTAACACACTTCTATTGCTACGTTATTCAAAAAATTGTTTGACGTTCAAAAGTACAAACACACATAAAAAGAGGTGTTGAAGAGAAACTGATGAAAATAACACTTGAAGTTCATTACTATGAGAAAAAACTCCTATGAATTGCATAGCATTAAAACAGTCTTAACATTTATTTTATTTCAAGGGAAATCGTTTGGGTTGTACCTTATGGAGAGTAAATTACCTCAAAATGCTATTGTGTTTGACCCGGAATCTATCCGTGTGCGCTATTGTTCTAGCATCATATGGAGTAATTTGAAAAAATTTAATTGTTATAATATGGCGTGTGTGCAATTGAACCATTCCATGTTCAACAACATTCATAGAACACAGTTTTAATATGTTCCATAACTTTATGTAAAATTTAATGTATACTCACTTTTATCCAAGTAATTGAAAATTATATTTCTTTATAAAATATCATTTTTTAAAGTAACTTCAACTTGAAACTATTTTAAAACCGTGAAAAAAATAAGCTTCTCGAGTGCAAAAATTTCTGTCTAAATGCTCTTGACAAAAATATTGGAAATAGTATTGCAGAGAGAGATAATTAAAAAATGTGTCTTTATAACTGCATTTATACATGTAAATTATAAATATAATTCATCCTATGTCTTGGACTTTTTTAAAGGATCAAGAAGTGCATGTGAACCTTATTAAACTAAATTCAAAGAACCATGAAAAAGTCAAAATCAAATCTCAAAAAAACAGAAATGATTGACATAATTATGATTGCAAAGGTATAAACAGAAAAATTTAAGAACATATATAAAATAAAACCACGAAGATAGACAAAAGGGAGTATATAGAGATTAAAATACTATATCTAAGAAGAGGAACAGCATCGCTGGTCCGGTACGAATACATAGAATATTACTGATTCCGAAGATTTTTTTCACTGAATCTTAGGTTATCTAGAGTGTATTACAGATGAAAGGCCGTAGGAGGTAAATGATGATCAGGATTGATGGTCACACCTGCGAGTTCACCAGAATATGCACCGTCGAGACATTGGTGTAATTGAGCGAAAAATCTGGGGGGAGAGATAAAGTGCTATATAAGGTCGGCACTTGAGGAGAAGAAAGATTAGTTGGAGAGGTAAGTCTTGGGTGTGTGATTAGGTTAGTCTTAGTTGCGTTTAGGCTATTGAGTTGGATTAATTGTTTTAATTTATTTGGGTAGAGAGTGTTAAGAAAGTTTTGGGCTTTGCATTACTCCGTATATTTAGCGTAATTTATAGGGAGTATTTTACATTAACTTTAATAAATTCTAATTTTTTAAAAAATTAAAGCATTGAATTACTTGACCCTAATTCGGCATTATAAAATATTCCCAATTACTATTTTTTACTATGTATATTTTTTAATAATAAAATAGATCAATAGATAAATAAATAAATTATATATATATATACATACATACATACATACATACATATATATATATATATATATATATTAGGGTTATTTTATGAGCTGGTTGACCACTAATGATTTGGGCCGCCGATTGGACATGGTTGAGTTATTTTTTATTATTTAATTAAGGCCATTTTATTGTTATTTTATTTAACATATTTAAAAACTTTTTAAATAAAATTCTATTAGAAATAATATATGTTTATAAATTATAACTTATTGTATTTATTGCATAATTAAAGAAGGAATTGGAAGTTTTGTGAGTCCATGTTACAAGTGCAAGAGTAATCGATGTTACAAGTTTTGTGAGTCCATGTTACAAGTAGAAACCGATGTAAGGATATGACTTTATATACCTATATTCACAAGCTCAAAAGCACTCCAAAAATATGTTTAAAACCTTCTTATAATCATTTTCAAACATCCAAAAGATTTTAAACAAAATTGGAAATGATTTGGACAAAAATATAAAAAATCATCAAAATAGTCAAAAGGTACCCTATACCGTAAGGGGTACTGTGAGCCAATCTGAGAATGTACCCCCTATTGTCAGGTCAGGACCCCCTACCGTAAGGGGTACCGTGAGTCAATATGAGAAGGTACCCACTACCGTAACCCACATGTAGGTACCGATCGTAAAAGTGGATATTAACTCCTTCTACACTATGGTGGTTCCCCCTACCGTGACCACACACACAGGTACCAACCGTTAAGGCAGAGAAACAGCCTAAACACAATTGTAACAGTACCCTATACCGTTTAAACGGTACTCCCTACCGTTACTGTTGGAGAAAAAAATCAAATTTCGGATTTCAAATCTAATCACATTTAATTAGTCAAATTCCTTCCAAATTTTTCCACTATAAATACAAGCTTAATCCTTCATATTTCAATAAGAAACAAAGCTCCAAACATACTCTCTTTATATTCTAAGTGTGTTCATTCTTTTATTCATAATTTTCAATATTTTGGCTATTTTAAGAGCCTTAAGTTCCTAATTTTTATACATACACTTTGAACTTGTGTTTTAGATATATACTCTCATATTCATAAGCTTATATTGTATTTTGAGAGAGTATATATAATTTCGTTCTACACCGGCTAAGTTTTGTTCTTCATTTTTATATTCAAGCCGTTGTGTAGAACCACTATAAGAAATATGATCTTTTGTGGCTAACTTTTAGTAGCAAAATAAATATTTGCCACTATATATAAAAAGTCTCTTAATATTTGTGGCAATTTAAAATTTGCCACAAAATAGTACACTTATTGTAGCAAATTTATAAAATTGCTACTATACTTAAAATATTAAGGAGGAAAATTAATCAAATGATTAATGAACTAATTTTTAATGAAAAGTTAATCCCGCCTAACCCAAAATTAGCCCAAAACTATTCCCTCTCCATTATTGCCGCTCCACCTCTCTCTCGCCCCTTTGCTGTTCGTCGTCTCTTTCCTCTACCGGCCGAAACTCCAATACATCTTTCGCCAGCACCGGTATTCTCTCAAACGGTTCTATTTTTTCGAAAGGTTAGCGTGAGTTTGTTCTGTTGTGCGTGTCTTTTACTTTACGCTTTTATTTCTGCATTTTATTTATTGCTTCCGCATTTTCCAACACCATTTTTATCAAACTCTGAAAAGTTTTTAAACGCCTTATTCACCCCTCTAAGGCGTGGGCACTACGACTAACATTCTCTACTCCTAAAAGAAATAGACAACGTATTTCTTTTTATTGTTAACTTTTAAGTTAAACATTATTAATGCTGCCATTAACTCATCATATTTATGGAACTATTGCACATTGTTACATTTGACTAAAAACATGCGCTTGCAATAGATGTCTTGCGATAACAATTATGAGAGCATGTTAGAATTTGGGGAGTGGATAGGAAGCATCGGTGATGGTATAGCTGGATAGGAAAATGACGGATCTAGTGACATTATTATTTCTGAAGATATGTTCTTAAAAAGCACAGATGATCTAATAACAACTATAGTACATTCAACTTATCCAGACTTCCACAATATCACAAATGATCCCACATATTTGCAAAATAGAGCAATCCGTGCACCCACTCTAGATGTTGTGGTGGAAATCAATGACTACATGACATCAATGAACAATGTGGGAGAAGCGAAAAACTACTTTAGCTCTGATGCAGTGTGTATGTCTTATTCAAATGCAGATTTTTTGATAGACTTGCATTTTCTTGAATTTTTGAACAACATACGAGCTTCTGGTGTCCCAAATCATGAACTAAAGTTAAAGGTTGGAACACCTATCATGTTGTTGAGGAATATTAACCAATCAACAAGTGTGCGCAATGGAACGAGGTTGTAGTAACTCGACTTGGAAATCATCTTATTCAAGACACAGTAGTGACAGGAAAAAATATCGGTCAAGAAGTTGTTATCCCACGGTTAACGCTTACACCGCTAAATGCAAGAATTCCTTTTAGATTTCAAAGAAAACAATTCCCAATCATGACTTCATACGCAATGACGATTAACAAAAGTTAAGGACAATCTTTGTCGCATGTTGGATTGCTACTCAAGAAATCGATATTCACCCATGGTTATTAACTTTATGTGGCAATTTCATGTGTTACAAGCCGCCAAGGGTTAAAGATCTTGATTTGCAATAATGACCTTCCATCATGTAACCAAACTACGAATGTAGTTTATAAAGAAATATTCCAAAACTTATAACACTTCATATCAACTTTGGTCATTACTGTATACTTCCCTTTTGTTGGCAATTATATTAAATTATGTAATCTTTCAGGTTTTGTAATACATTCCATTATTCCAAACATTGACTAATTATATGTATTAGAATTGCCAGTGCAACACACGGGTACGAGTCTAGTATGAATGGATACTACATTGTAATCGAGCCGATATATCTCAAAAACAATATTATGTTTTACATTTTTAGAAAAATAAATCATATTTAATAAAATGAAATCTTGATTAAACTATGCTTTGTTTTTTTAATAAAATGTAAAACATAATATTGACTGTGAAATTCTTTCTTCAAAAAATGAAACTCTTGACTAGCATACCAATTTGAAAATGAGATACAAATTATTTATTTACATAAAAATTCTTCCTCATCATATAAATTTACATTTTAGTATACAGACAAACCTTTTATCCTTTATCTATAAATTTGAGAGTTTGATGTTTAGTAAGTTGACATGTGGCAATTTTAGAGTCCTATACTTTTGACAAGTAAGCCTACATGTGTCTCTCCTTTAGCCTAATTAATCGAAGCTTCCCACATGCAAATTCACAGAAGCGATCAAAAGGAAAGAAACAATTTTCTCATGGAAATCTTCTTCCCGATGCAAATTCAAGGATGCGATCCAAAAGGAAAGAATCCAAAGAATCTGCACTCACCTTCTCTTCTTCGCCGAAGGAAAGACTTCAATTTTGCCTGTCTTCTCCACCTAAAAGGAAACTCTTGAATTTGGAAGATCTGAGCTCTCTATTCTGTCTTCTCTTCTTAGTTGAAGGAAACTCAATCTGCTCTCTCAATCTTCTCTCTTGATTCAGATCCAAAATACCAAGTTTGATATTCCAAATTGAGAATGGATATTTATCTTCTAGAAGAGATCGAGCACCTTTAAGGATTTGGTGGTTGGGATGGGTTGTTTCGGCCCACCTAGGGGACAAAGGTGGTGAATGAAATGAGGGTGTTTTGACATATTATTTTGGGGAGATTTGGTGGTTACAAGGTGTTTTCATAGCGCTTTTTGAGAGCAATTTTTGTGAAGTTCGTGTTGTGTTCTTGAGCATTTTTAGTTACTCAACATCCACTCTAAAAGAGAGTATTGTTCTTGAGCGAATGTGTGTTTTAGACATGTGATAAGAGAAAGTAATGCTCTTGATTGGTATGAAGGAAAGTTTGTTTCCTTCGAAGTATCGTTGAGGTTCGTGTGACTCGAATTCTCAAATTGTGCGGGTTTGTTAAGCACTGTTAAGCTTTACGTTGATAGTGTAGCTTGAGAGAGTCTCTTAGGAGGCTGGACTAGCCACACGTTGTGGTGAACCAGGGTAAAATCAGTGTGCCTTCTTCTTACTCTTTACTTTACGTCTTTAAATTTTTTATTCTTGCGACATTTCGTTTCAAACGCTATTCACCCCATCTAGCGTTGGGACTATAATCTAACAATAATATCTGAGTTGAATAAAATATGTTGATATGAACTGAACAATATAAAAATTGTGAATGTCTGAATTGAACATTGTGTGCATGATATCAAATGATTTGATTATGAATTTTTATTCAGTTTATATGTAGTCAATGATATGATTCAACTTGAGCATTTGAATTATTTTAAGTGCGTAAGTTACATAATATATTGTCTACGTGCCTATTATACGTGTAATGTTCGATTTGTGTTTGTTTTCTTTTTAGTTTTGTTTCGGGTTCTTGACGGTGTTTCTTGGGTTACCTTAGTTGGCGAAGTTGATTATCTTTAGAGCTTGTTTTCCCTCATTTTATCAATAAAAACCACAAAATAAGAAAAATAAAAAAACCAAAAAGCATTATTTACTTTTCATCCAACACCCCCCCCCCCTCTTTTGTTATATTGTTTTAGTTTCTAATATAAGTTTTTTTACTAAGTTATATTTTAAGTGTTTGTTTATAAGTTATAATACTTTATTCTTTTAGTATATCTTAAGTATGTGTTTTATGTTTATAAGTTATATATAAATTCTTTGTTTATATAAGTTATATTTATAAGTTTTTATATTTATTTAATTAAAAGTTTTATAAGTGTTATCATAAGTGTAGTAGTTAGTTTGTTTTGTTTAGTGACAATTTGTGTGCATGCTTAATTGATTTCAAAAGTACAATCTTTCTCCGTGGGATTGACTCGTACTTGCCCTAGCTATAGTTTTTATTTGATTATATCTTAGGGGTTAGCTAAGGTTTTTTTATAAATTTTTAATTTGTTTTGCACCGCACGACAGGTCTTCAACAAATTTTGGCGCCGTTGCTGGGGAAAGTATTTTATGAATCAGTTTAGTTCGTATGAAAGTATTTTATGAATCAGCTATGGGCATAAAGTTTTAAGTGCGGGGGTATAAAGTGCATTTTGTTCTTCTTGATGATGATAAAATGTTTGGTTTCTTTTTTTGTCTTTTAAATGAGAGCGTTCAAGTCTTAAGTGTGGGGGTATTTGATAAGTCGATTTTGGGTTAGTACTTTTTATTCTTTTTTTAGGAATTTTAAATATTTTTAGTGTTCAATTTTAAGTTTTTTTCACGTAGAAATAACCTCTTTTCCACACTATTTTGTTGGTTAAACTCACAGAATTGTGGTTTCGTTGTGCTTGAAAAAAAACTAGAATCAGCATGTTTGAGTTGTCTTTAATGCTAAATTTGTGCTTCATTTTCTACTTTTGTGAAATTTTTGGCCTATCTTTCATAAAAGCTATATTTTGAGACTTTTATGGGCTTTTACTTGCTGGTTTTAATTGATTTGACCATATAGGTTGCATATGGATGATATCGGTTTTGTTTTGTTCCAAAATTAGATATGTGCAGTTTGTATTTTTCATTCTTTGAATGCTAATTTATGCACTTTTGCTTGATGAATTTATTTGCAAACTTGCAATAATCATATGTCGATAATGATGCATTAGTTGCCGATTTGCCAAAGTCTTATTTGAAGTTTTTTTATGAAAAAAATCTGCACTTTGTGGTTGATTTGCAGGCTGAATTCATGTTCCTTAAAGTGCGTAGTTGCTTAAAACTTCTTTAGGAGCTGAATCTAAAGCTATAACATGATGCCAAAAGTCTTATTCTTGAGTATTTGATGCTACATTTGCTTAAAAATCTGATTTATACATGCTGTTTTTTTTCAAGAAACTACACTTTTGACTTTGTTTTGATGCTGTTTTTGTCCTCTAGAAGTGCTGATTTTCTAAAATATGAAGTATTATTGATATATCTTGCTTAGGGACAACATTTATAAGCATATTATGATATTTATATGATGTTTTTGATTCTTTAAGTGCTGATTTTAAGAAAAATATGATCTAAAGTGCCATTTAAAAATCTGCAACTTTTTCTTGGTGTTCAAGCTAATTTTTGAGCTAATTTTTGAGTTTCTAAGGTGCTTATGTGCTTAGTCATGAATTCTAGTTGTTAAATATTTTCTTAGGAACTGATTTGAAAGCACATAACATGTCTTTACATTCAAGTTTTGATCTATGGATGGTGAATTATGTTCTAAAGATGCTAAAGGATCAAAAGAATCTGTTTTTTTTCAAAGCTTAATTTGCTTCATATATTGAATTCTTGAATGTCAATGTTTGTTCTTAATTGAGCATGAAGTGTTATTCTTTGATTATAGTTCAATTCTTGATGCTTATCCTTTTTTTATTTTTTATTTTGCATGTTTTAAAGAAACACACTTCCATTACTACTTTATGCCTTAAGTGAATGTTTTTTGCAAGTATTGAGCTATCTTCCATCCCTCCCCCTCGGAACAAAATGTGTTTGTATGCAACAAGCTCTCTTAGTTTCCATATCACTAGCTCTCATAGTTTTATGTATATTTATAAATATACACAAGCATGCACACATACATATATACACATATTGTCATGATAATGCAATAATGAGAATTGAAACTGCGCCATATGTACATGCACAACAAAACAAATGATCTGCAATGGATGGAACTTCAAATACAAACCAGTATTCCCAACAGTGCAGTAACTTTCTGAATCCTTAGTGGTTGCTTATTCAATTCAATATCAACAAGTATGCTCCTATTAGCTATGCTTCTCTGAATCTCGTCATATACTCTCTCAACCCTGCAATGGCACAAGAAGAGAGATGAATCTTTCTGACCAAATAACTTGCAAGCCAGAAATATTTTCCTTAAGGCATCAACTTACCACTTCTTACCCTCAGTATCCAACACAGATGTGAGGACTAACTTGAGGGTATAATAACACTCTTGAACAGCATATTTCATGTATTCGTCCCTTAAAATCCTGTCCCATAGCTCCTCTTGCGAAAGTCTGGGCTCTGTTTTCCATTGCATCGCCACAAAAAAGGGAAAAAAATTGCAGCAGTTACTAAGAGAACAAAATCAAATATCACATGAGAGAAGCTTAATAAACAGAAAAGTACTACCAAGTTCAACATTGCCGAAGGCCAAAATTTGGACCATGATGCTTAAAAGAGTTAGTAGAAGTGCATTCGCCTATTCCAAATCCCACAAAATGTAAATAAGTATTAAAGAATGAATAAATGACATTAAGTTGCTTCAAGAATGAAGACCAACCATGATAAATAGAGGTGGCTTAGTGGAATTTGAATCCCATGTGGCCTTAACCACCTATTTGTATATGTAACAAATAGTAACGATATGTTTTGAGTGCAGCAGCTAATACCAACCCAACTTTTTTTGGGACATATCCAACAAGAAGAGGAAACCCAATAGAAACAAAATCGTACTTTCAAAATAGGCCGAACATATACCACTAAATTACCACTTTGAGAAGACTTGCACTGTCGTGAAGTCCTAGTCCCTCGATCTGATGTTGATCTTTAGCAAAAGGCAAGGCTGGTGATATATTTCTACGTAAAACTTGTTCTTTCATTTTTATCCAATATAAAAATATAAGGAATTGCCATTGCTACAGACATTCTAGAAACACCATGCATCGCCAAGTTAAGAACGCCAAGCCCGGCACTGAAATAAAACAAAAAATACGCCAAGGAGAATTTGTAACTCAAAAACATATTAAAAACATGGTATGCCTTTACCTTCCTACTACTATCACAACTATCCTTTGGTTGGCAAAATCACTCAAAGGGCCTCCCTAGACGTGAAAGTTCCTAAAAGACCAGCGAGAGCAACAGACACAGAGAAGTAGACGGCTCTAAAATTGGTAATGAAATTGGAGGGGTTGCAGGATGCCTCGCGCCTGGGCCGGCCACGAGGGATTTATGGGAGGAGGGGTAGGCAGCACAGGAACAATCAATCAAGAGACCAGATCAGCACAGGAACAATCAATAAACAGATCAGATCGCAACGGAAGAATGAATAAAGAGATGAGATAGCTATAAGTGCTCTAATTCATTTACATAAGCTGTTTTTCCAGTGCCTTGCCACCAAAAAAAACTTGTAGTAGGTACTAAGAGGACAAAATCAAATATCACATGAGAGAGCTTAATAAACACAAAAGTACTCATACCAAGTTCGACATTACCGAAGGGCAAAATTTGGACCACCATGCTTAAAAGAATCAGCAGCAGTGCATTTACCTATTCCAAATCTCACAAAATATAAATAAGTATTAAAAGAATGAATATGTGACATTAAGCCGCGTGGAGAATCAAGACCAACCATTGTTAGTGGGGTTTAGCATGGGAAATAGAGGTCGTTTAGTGGAATCTGAATCCCGTGTGGCCCATTCCAACCCGTCCCTTCACGAAAGTAGAGAAACAAGGCACCTTGCCTCAAATACAGGAATACAAACAAAATAAACAAAATATCATAAACAAAGGCAAACAGACATGAAGCACATATACGTACACTAACAAAATGTTTTTTCTTTATCCAAAACAGGTTGTCCGGGTCTGAATAGTACTGAAATATGTTGGTATCAATAAGAAAATTAAAATAGATGTTGTTTCCTAGACATACCTGAAGAAGCAATTCATATTTAGAGTTAAATAAGGGGGTGTTTGTTTTTTTGGCCAGAAGAGCTTCTGGCCTCTTTTGTCTGCGCCGCGCAGACGCGCGCAGATGCTGAGCTCTGCAGATTGTTTGTTTTTTGGAAGACATTTCACTCAAAAAGGTCTTCCTGTCATCTTCTTGGAGAAGACATTAACCTATGTCTTCTAACATCTTCTCCAATTTTTTTCTTCTACTTCTCTTCACCACCACCACCGTCCACCACCATCACCACCGTCCACCATCACCGCC